GACTTCCACAGTAAAATGTCAAAAGATTAACATCAACTTAGGAGGCTAAAGGCACAAACCACAGACATGGTTTAAGTTTTTCTCACACTGTTGTAACAAACCATTTCTCTATTTCCTTTCTGCTACAGAACTGACGAATGCTTCAACGATCTTGGGAGGCAGAAGGGCAAAAGATGGCTACACAAATCCATACAGGTTTTATCGTTAACAGGACAGACAGCACATTTCTTGGGTCTTGAGTCTTTCAAGGAATACCATGGATTAAATCAACACGTTTGAATAGTCTGTGGACCACTCTGACTTTGGAGGAGAGGGCTGGGCCGTTCAGTTGGATGGGTTCTGGCCGTGTACTCCATTAGAACGTTAGCACCCAGCTGGATCTCCACACTTACTTCTTACAAATAGTGATCAACGCACACGCACACATTTTGCTCCTTCAGCTACCACCCGTCACACCAAAACTGTTTTCAGACCCAGCCATCTTTCAAATGTAAACATACAGCTGGCAAACCTTTACCTGCTAAAACGGAGGAATTTTTTCTGCTGTGTACCAGGCACTTGATGTGTTGCCTGATCTTCAAAGATTGATGGTGATTCCTCATCACTGTCAACTGCACCATTTCTTAAAAGATCATGGAAAGTGTCTGAAAGACAAGAGAGGTTGGTTAACTTTCCTGAATAGTCTGTATCTGGCTCCGGCATTAATACAGCTTCTCAGTCGGTGCTGGAGACCCCTTAGCTTGTAGTTCTTCATTTGAGGGCACATGTTGATTGCTGTTTTCTGAAGAGTTCATCCTACCACAGATCTAAGGAGGTTGCACAAGTCTCTACAAAGCTTTCCTGCATCCCGTGATTTGCTTAAGGTGTATCTCTCTGGTGGTGAAAACTTGGAGAATTCTTCCTTAGAGTAAAAATGACTGGGGACAACGTCTGTAGTTCCTAGACACCTGAAAAACCCAGCAAGGCCACTTCCTTCTGGAGCAGGTTCGCCCACTGGAAGTGGGGGAATTAAGTGAAGGTGATGGCCGCAGACTTCCATTTGTCTGGGAGTGGTGAGTCAGAACATACAGACCAACCCATCTTCTAAAGAAGGCTCCTCAAAGATCACCAGACGGGGAGATAACGGAAGGCGGACAATGGAGAGGGGACGCAATTACCAATCCGCCAGCCTCTCTGCTTTTATTTTGCTGGTGGATTTCTACCTCTCTTTTACCAACGCAAACCGATCTCTCAGCTCTACTGCGGTTGACGCTGGTAGGATATTCTCAAGGGATCAGCATCCTAACTCCTCAGGGATCTCCATTAACCAGCAGTGAAGTGAGCTGAACAATTTATTTGCTCTCACCAACAGACAGACTAAACCTGATCCAGGCTGATGCAGTTAGGAACGTGAACTCATATGTGCTATGCAAGCCAAGCCCCACAGTACACACTACTAAAACATTCTCTCACCAACAGACAGACTAAACCTGATCCAGGCTGATGCAGTTAGGAACGTGAACTCATATGTGCTATGCAAGCCAAGCCCCACAGTACACACTACTAAAACATTCTGAGCTCACATGCAAGTGCACAGTGTGATCCACAAACATTTAAATGACGAGAATGTGGTTAAAAATCATGAGAGCTAAAACAGTAGTTAGCTTAAGCCATTTAGATTTGTATTGTGGTCCTGACATTCTCCAGACAGCAATTAGAAGCATTCCTGGGAAGGTGCCCTTCTCCCCCCCATTTAAGTATTTGTTTTGAAGGAGGTTCCTCTCATACATGAAGCCTTAAATCCCTCTCTACAAATGATACATCTCAGCTGCTGTCAGAAACAGGGTGCTCTAGCACAGAACGCATCCTTCTCTGCTGCTTTTTGCGAGGCATGCACAGCTCCCACCCAGCACTTCAGTGCAGAATCCAGCATAAAAACTACGCACGGTATTCCTGAAATAAAGGCGTGCACATGCACGCGATAGAATTCTACTGTCATCGCGCCTGGGAGGTTTGTGTATGTCAGTTGCACCAGTCAGAAGTTTTTGCTCTGGCAGAATTTGAAAGAAGTGGATGTTACTGGTCTACCTTGCTGTTGGTTCTTCTCTAGCGCAAGCTCTGCGTGAGGAAATACTTCCTGCAAGGCTTCTAAAATTCTTGCTAGTGTGTTTTCCAGCAGTGGTTTTGACATAGGTGGTAGCGCTCGCCCAGCTGAAGCCACAGCCCTCTGTGAAGCTGGAACAATCTTCTGCATCGCCACCACAAAATCCTTTGCTCTTATTTCAATAGAAGCGACATCTAACTGCAGTTTCTCACGACTTTGGTAGATCTGAGGATAGTGCCGGCGCAAAGCACACAGGGCAGCTTCAGCACACAAGGCTTTAATATCGGCGCCACAGTATCCTAATAAACAAAACAAGAATCAAAGGTTACGTTGGTCTCAGGCAACACAGAAGCCAAGGTTGCCCAAGTGCAACACTGAAAGATTTTGTATGCAGCCACAAATTGAGAGGTTCAGAGAGAACTGACAGAGTTACTGCACTGCAGAGAAGTTCTGTTACGGGGCTCGCATCCTGAGACCCAGGACCTTGGAAGCAGCCTCCTAATCAAAGCTGTGCTCCTGAGAAAGCAACAGGGTGCTCTAGCACAGAACGCATCCTTCTCTGCTGCTTTTTGCGAGGCATGCACAGCTCCCACCCAGCACTTCAGTGCAGAATCCAGCATAAAAACTACGCACGGTATTCCTGAAATAAAGGCGTGCACATGCACGCGATAGAATTCTACTGTCATCGCGCCTGGGAGGTTTGTGTATGTCAGTTGCACCAGTCAGAAGTTTTTGCTCTGGCAGAATTTGAAAGAAGTGGATGTTACTGGTCTACCTTGCTGTTGGTTCTTCTCTAGCGCAAGCTCTGCGTGAGGAAATACTTCCTGCAAGGCTTCTAAAATTCTTGCTAGTGTGTTTTCCAGCAGTGGTTTTGACATAGGTGGTAGCGCTCGCCCAGCTGAAGCCACAGCCCTCTGTGAAGCTGGAACAATCTTCTGCATCGCCACCACAAAATCCTTTGCTCTTATTTCAATAGAAGCGACATCTAACTGCAGTTTCTCACGACTTTGGTAGATCTGAGGATAGTGCCGGCGCAAAGCACACAGGGCAGCTTCAGCACACAAGGCTTTAATATCGGCGCCACAGTATCCTAATAAACAAAACAAGAATCAAAGGTTACGTTGGTCTCAGGCAACACAGAAGCCAAGGTTGCCCAAGTGCAACACTGAAAGATTTTGTATGCAGCCACAAATTGAGAGGTTCAGAGAGAACTGACAGAGTTACTGCACTGCAGAGAAGTTCTGTTACGGGGCTCGCAGCCTGAGACCCAGCACCTTGGAAGCAGCCTCCTAAGCAAAGCTCTGCTCCTGAGGAAGATGCCCAAAACCCATTCAATGTTCTGAGAGACAAAGAAAATGAAAAGAAAAGAAGCATCTGACTTTGTCTGCCCGCAGGGCGAGCCAGCTGCCTCACTGCCTCGCCCTGCGGCAAGGCACAAGAGCTCGGGGGCTGCCCGGTAGAAGCTCAGGTTCCCGAGGACTCCAGTCACGCGCAGCAACTCACTTGGTTTTCCAACTTACCAACGCATTTTTCAGCTAGCTCTTCCAGAAACGTGTCCAATGGTTTAGGGGTCCACTCTCGTGTGTGAATCTTGAAAATCTCTTTTCTAGCCTGGAAACAAAATGGTTGCCTTTGAGCTTGTCCTAAGTTTTCTCTTCAAATCCAATCATTCTCAACTTGTTACATTCAACTTTTTTCCTGGGGGCCTGCAGCCAAATAAAAGGCATTTATAGCTTCCACAAAAAGTTCGTTTCCACAGGTATCAAACCTAATGATCCTGAGGAAAAGAAACTGTAGTCAAAAACTTCTCTGCAATCAGCGATTTTTCGTCACAGAAAATTCTCTTCAATTTCTCTGATCTTAACAATTTCCTGCTACACAGATTAATTATGGCAGATTTCTAGAATTATTCCCCAGCAGGGAATCACACTAGTACATCTGTTTCTTGGCACCTCCTCTGCTGTCCCGGAAACCAGATAAA